TTTGTTCATGAGAGTGTTTATACAGATTTTATTCATGAATGTATGCTGGACTTTGTATGCTCTGTGTCTCAGAAGACAGAATGGATGGATAAAGTGGTGGAAATTGATGAGTTTTGCTGATGTTTGAAATTGATATTTCTGCTGTCTGAAGAAGCATTTACAATGGTAAGTGCATTTTATTTCATTGTTGTTCTTATTTTGTACAACAGTTCTGCAGAACAGTTTCGTAGAAATTAATTTCCTAGAAAAACAATGAACCATCGTTTTTTTACTATGAATTTCTATCGTTATTGTTTTTTGAATTGGTTTTCATTTATTTTGTTGATTTGCACGCAATGCCTGGATTATGTAATTCATTATTAAAACAGAACACTGTGTACATGGCATTGTTTGAAATGTATTGTTGTTATGTTAGTTTATTTTAGCGAGGTATGCACAATTCCTACGCTACATAGATTGCACAATTCTCTCATTTTTTTTTTAAAGTTAAAACAGATCACTGTGTACATGGATTCTTCTCAAATATTTTTGCTTAGAAACTTTATGTTTTTGCTATCTAAATTTTTTGTTTATGTTTTGGATTTTTGTCATAAATTGTGTGTTAAAAACATTGTTTATGAACGTGTGAAAACCACATTTTTGCAGACATTTTAGGCTTAAAGTTCAAAATGTACACAAAAAATTTAGATAGTAATATGGCACCCTGGAGTTTCTCGCCAAAAATGTTTGGCGAGAAATTTGTTGCCAACCGAGGGCATTTATACGAGTAATTCCCAAAATTTAATATCTAGGCATAATTTGAGCCATAGAATCGAAATATGGGAAAAAATTGGTATGCTACTTCAGAAAAAGTCCGATTTTGTGTCAAAATACCTATATTAAAACAATGCTATATATAAATTTAATATATATCCTAAGTTGCGCTTTCAATACACGAAAAATGCAATTTGAATTTTGACAATATGGGAGAACTGCCCCCCCCCTTTTGCACCATGTACATTAAAGGCATTAACCCAGCTGACCAGTATCTATTCTATTATTCCACTCTAAGCCAAACCAACAAATAGATAAAAAAGTTGCTATGTACCTTATAAATTGTGCATTGTTCAGCTCATTTGTTTATAATTCTGTGAAGGAAAATAAAATAAATTTTTTAATGTCATAGCAGTCCACTGACTGACTGATGAAAGCATCGCAAAGAACCATAAAAACCGGATATTCAAGGTAAGAAGATTATGCTGTGCATTTGGAATATGCTGTGCATTATATAAATACCTAAATAAAGACACTTATATAACTTACCATTCTACCAATATTCCTTTCATAACATACACCATCCTGGAACTTACGAATCACAGTTCTACAATTAAATTTGAAAACAGACAGACAGACAGACAAAGTAGACAGATGTCTTGTTTTGCACCCGCTAAGTCTTTCTGCACCGATGGGAGAAAAATCAAGCATAGGTGCGAAGGAAAGGTATATAGAAAGAGGGGCAATTTCGTATTTGAGGAGAGTAAAAAGGAACTTCGTACATCTTGTACGAGTTCAAAAGGCCAGGAAGAAAAGATGGGACAAAATAAAATTTAAAATAAATTGCCCAAAAATAATAGAGGAAAAAAAAAAAAAAAAAAAAAAAAAAAAAAAAAAAAAAAAAAAGAGGGCCTATAGAAAGAAAAGGAAAAGAAGTAGAAAATATCCTAAAATACGATTGTGTCCATGAGTGTAGTTAAAAGGAGAAGAAACTGTCTTCATTTACAATAAATAGTGTCTCACAGGTGTGTTTGTGTAGTGAGTGTGTTTGGTAATGGTGAATAGATGTGTTACTGGGAAAAAAACAAATATTGACGGTGTTAAAATTCTTCGTATCAAGGTATTTAGCATGGAATATAAAGTAATATGTACGCTTGCATCCTGAGATATCAACAAAGGTCATCAAACAAAAGTATATATTAATTTAACCAAAGTAACTTATGCTACTTTCATTCTCAACATTTTCATACATTTTTCAAAAATGCAGCAGCAGACTAACAACATAGAACCATATACAATACAAGACCACAACCGCATACACCCCCAAAAAATAAATAAATAAATAATATATATATATATATATTTATTTATGTGTGTAAATTACTGAGTATATGTATTAAAAACCACAATTAAACAGTATTTATTAATTTAACTATCATAATTTATTACAAGATTAATTATTTTACTATCATAATTTACCAGTTAAATAATGTTATATAACACAATGAGGCACACTGTTATTTATATAAGCTCATAGTTCTAAAAATTCATTTAAGGCGGTGAAGAATAAACCAAATGAAGAATAATTCCTTACATATGGACATTTAACAGATAGCAAAGGAACAGTATGAGAAAAAATCGGTTGAGGTATAATATTATTTAAAGGCGAAACTATATTCAAGCGATCTAGAAAGAAAAGAGAATCCAGAAGATCCGAGAGGGAAATAGCGCGATGCCCAAATTATTCCCTCTCATCCCCAAATTTCCCTCTCTCGAGATTCCTTAAGGGGCTTTGTAAGTGTTGACAGACGTGAACTGATAACGCTTGGCGTCTGTTTCGGAGTTGATACACAAAGGAAGCCAGCCAAGCAAGCAATGAGCAATTTCAAGTATTTTTAATGCTTTTAAACTGATGAAAAATTAAGATTTATTGATTTTAAAGGCACTTATTTATAGAAATTTGATTTAGTTTAGATGAAAGAAAGTACTTATCTTAAAATTCCAGGCTTTTGGAGTATATCCTTACATTGTCCGCTGTTTTATTCTCGTCAACATCGGAGCCGAAATTCATTGGAATGATATAGGTTTTGTAGGGGAAAAATAAACATTTTTCAAAGAAATTTAATTGATAATCACCAAGAGGAAAGGAAAAATTTTCACTTTTTTACGGAGCGCAGCGATCGTGCTGCCGCTTGCCTCGGTGATCACACAGCCCTCCAAATTTGAAAACAATATCAAAGTTACACTGGACTAAAATTGTTGCCATTCAGGAAATAATCTCTCTCCTGCCACCCTTTACTTGTTGAGGCCGAGAAACACAAGGAGGGTTAGACAAAAGAGGATTTTCATATTTTTTTGTTTATTACATCTGCCTTCAAAACATATTCAACTAATATGATTATATATTCTTTACGAAAATAAATAGTAAAATAATGCATAAAACAATTTAATGAATATTATATAACAGAATAGCAGCAGTGTAGAACGTTATCAAATTATTAGTTATATGAGAATTTTTAGCCGAAATAATACTTACATATGTATACACATGATGTTTCACGCACTTATCTTTTCAGAGCAGAAAAATTTGTAAAATGTTAAACATCCAGGACTGAGCGGAAATACGAATGTGATTGATTAATGTATGAAATCAGATCGAAGAGTAGTTGCCCTAATTTTTTTGTCATAATTGCACATAACTTAATTTTCAATACTAATTTAGCTAATTAACAGAGCCAAATTTGAGTTATTGTGGCGACATCGTTTGCAATATTGAAAAGCCGTCTATCAAACTCTTCGCTTTGCGATTTTCTTTTTGTTAAATGACAAGAGTAAAAAAGTGCCCGATATTAAAAGAAACGTTAGAATTTGTTTTAAAACCCAAAATTCTTCCAAGAAAATCTGAGGTTAAATCAACTCCAGGGTGGACTAAAAAATCCCCCTAAGAAGTATTCTAACAGAGAAATGCATCCTTAGATGTTAGAGTTACTGCGCATGCGTCAACTACTACTGTTAAGATGATGGACTCTAAAACACTTACTTTATTTTCTGGATATTAGATATATTTTCTATTAGATAAATTCGTGAATTTTTTAGCAGAACTCATTAATTGAAGTTTGCTGAACTCATTAAAAAGATGAATTCGCAAGAAGAAAAATTACAAATTGCATTGTACTTTATTGATATGCTAGAAAATCTGTAACTTTCTGTACAGCTTCAAGATAACTATCCTCTAGTGCCAGTTATGTTTTGGGGGTGAGACTAAATTTCAACTTGGCAGGAAATTTTGATTGGTTGGCTCTGGTGACGTCGTTCTGACATATTTAAACACCGCCTCTCATGTGGTTTACAATCAAAACTCATCATGCGCCATGTTTGGTCATGACCAAGATGGGTTCTTCTCTTGCTTTATCAAGATATCCGTATAGCCAGGGCTTAAATTGCGTCGGAGCCCACCGGAGGCGGGCTCCGGTACTTCTTAGTTTTAGGGATAATTCATGATTTTAGCCGAAGCGCACCGGAGCTCTAAATAAGAAGACTCCGGCACTTCTTTTATGTAACTGAACAATAATTTCAGTAGAAATTTGATCTTGGAAACTTTATTTTTGAATAATAAAATTATATTAAAAATTGCTGATTAAATTCTAATTTATCTCTTTGCATTTTATTAAATTTTAATTACTTTAATCATTAATTATTAATTTTTTAATAATGAATTATTTAATTTTTAAATTGTTAATGATTTTATTAGTCATCTTATTCTTTTATTTATTCTTGTTTCTCTTTCCTGAAGGTCTTCTATAGGGCTCTGGTACTTCTAATTGTTTAAATTAAACCCTGCGTATAGCTGGCTTTTTTGTTTTTTGAATATGCTTCCTTAGGGATTATGACAGCCATATACTGGTAAAAGGCCGTAGACCATATACCAAAGCGAAGATCCGAGATGGTTTATATCATAAATAAGAGAGTTCTTAAGGAAGCTTATATTGTAAGAATTTTGTTCTTCGAAATCTTCAGTTTTCATAAAGGAAATTGGATAAATGCATGTCTTTTTTCGAATGTGAGAAAAGTCCTAAAATTACTTCAACTGTTTTATTTTGTTAATAAAGATAAAATATCACCTAATATGTGTATGCACTAAACAGAACTTCACATTATTTAGTGAAATAAATAGTGACAAAATACAAAATTTGAAATTGTAGTTAAAAATTTTTTTAAATAAGTTTATTTGATTATGGTAAAGTCACCCTTAATAATATGTACATTTCACGTCACACTAATTGTCTAAATTACAAAAGTGAACTCAAGTGCATGTACCTTCCTAGTATTACTTATTAAAAAAATATTCACTGTTGTTTTTACAATCATAGGTGATAAGATTTATATAATTAATATAATGTGAATATACGTTTCCCAAATAAACTTTGTATTAACTGAATTTAAGATTACATGTTCCTAAGAAATTTAAGGAATTAGTTTTGCTTAGGAAATGTAAGTAGTGTACAAGTCTTGAATGAAATGTTTAATTTCTTGTTAGACAAATTAAACTTATTAACACACTTGACTAATAACACAATAATAAAGGATGTATTTAGGGTTTATTCATCATCCATTAAATCAAAAATAAAAATTTGCAAGGCCTCTACAAGCCTTCCTTTGCTTTTCTGGAGGAAAAGACTTTACTGTTTTCGATATAAACAACATTAAATGATCTATGTTGTTGTGCTCTTGTGTCTCAAGGACAGAAGCAATGGCTTTGTCGATCATATCATTTTTTTCCCAGAAGAATCTGAAAAATAAATAAAAAATTCATTATTAAATAGTAATCTCAATCTCCACTGTGCATATTTTACTGAAAATATTTTAAAATTTGTTTCACTATTTTGCTTTGTATTTGGAATATATACATGTGCATTTTAGAAGATTAGAATTTTTTTATTATTATTTAAACATATTTTGTAAATTAGCACATGTATATATAAAAAAAAATTTTCATCATCTAAACATGATGTATAAAAATAACAATTTTTAATCTACCAGAATTCCAATTCATATTAACATACTTTTATGTAAGGTAGACTCAGAAGCTGTTTCTAGTCCAAAATCTTCAAAATCCACTGACTCTTGCACATCCAGCTGCTCAAAATCCGTGGAGCATGATGCTTCATTGGAGCATGTTGCTTCATTGGAGCATGATGAATTCCTGCTTTGGATGCTCAAATTAGACCATGTACTGAAACAATTTCAAATTAATAATTACAGATTATGCAAAATTCAACCTTATGCTCATAAATTTTATTCAAATTCAACAGTATATTAGTTTTATTGAAAAAAATTGTTGCAGAGCAAGAAATGTTTAAAATTAAAATGCTTTAATATACGAAAGACCAAAAATAATTGCATATGGACCTGTAAGGAAGTACAGCTTACAATGCATGTTGCTAAACTGTGCTAATGGAATAAACCTTTTCATTACCTGAGTCAATCAATAATTAATATAATTAGTGGATTATACCTGGAGGTATACTAAAATGTATTAATAAACCAAGCAAAATTGTATAGTGATTCTCTGATAGGCTATATTTTAAATCTTAACTTACTTTGATTTTCAAAAGATTTATACTTCAAACTTTTAATAATACAGTGTTACAATGAGAGTGGACAACTTTTACTTTGCTCTGCGAACTGAGCTTTTAATCTGATCTACTCATATCCTAAAAAATTTTATTCTTTAAGAAATATTTAGATACCATTAATCCATTGCCAGTCCCCAAACACAACCTCAGTTTTTAATGATGTGTTTTTAAATAAAAAATGAATTACATGTTATACAGTTCTTATTTATTTTTTTATGCACTGTATTGCATAAAAATAAATAAAATATGTATAAAGCATAATACAAATATATGAAAGAATTTAAAGAAAGAAAATAGTTTTACAAAGCTTAATTATTATGTTCTACTTTGTACAACATACCTTCATTATCTTTACTGTTACCTTTTTCTCTACAATTTTTCATTTTCATCCCTAGTCATTTCAATAAAAAATTGTCCAAGAAAGTATGTATGTCATCATATGATGTTTAAGATTGTTTTCAAAATGTGTTAAAGAAGTCTCACTTGAATAGTGCTGTTGTATGGCAAGTTGCCATTTTTTCCAATGAACTCAGCAACCCTAAAGTTAAACTTGGGTCTATGAGTCTCATCAACAAAATCTTTTTTTAGTATATGCAAAGAAATTTTTGTTAAATGTTTCCTCATCATCGCCAAGCGTAGTGTCAATATAAAAGGTTAACATACTCCTTTATTATTCAATTTCTAACATTAAAAAAAAATTGTTTAGGCATTGCTACATGAGTCATTACTCAAGTTGCCATGTGTGGATAAACATGGCATGATGAAAGGAAAGTATAATACACATAAATAATGATTCGCCAGGTTGGTGTCACATCAGCGATGTATCTATATGGAATGTTTCTGTTTGAGATGTGTGCCAATGCATCTCAAACGCAGTACAAATTTATGCTAAAATGATTGTTTCTTCAATAAGAATGTATTTTATTTAGTGTAGAAGTGAAATTAAGAATCGGGACTCTTCACATGTTTTATTATGCATGGAGGGGTTGGGGAGGCAAATGAGGTGGGGGAGTTTTGAGGTCCAGATTTTATATCATTCCGGACTTTATACTGTATAATGTTTACATTTTATTCCCAGCATCAAAAGATGAAGTTTTCAAATAATATTTTTTCACGATATAAATAGGCACTTGTTTCTCTCAAAGTAAAACTTCTTAGTATCGTATTAAAGAATTACAGTTAAATGTTTGTCATTTGATAAAGGGTCTTCTATACAAAAAAGAAAAAAGCTTAAATTTGGACGTTCAAATGTTCAAAATTTGATTACTTGACCTGTTCAAAGTAATCAAATTTTTAAGGTAAAAAGAAGTGCTTTAAAATTCATAGAAACACTTCTGAAAATATATATACATTTTAACATGAATAAATTTGATGTTAAATTTCATTCAGATGTTTTTGTATATTAATTTCAGTGATGATATTAATTGATAGGACACTAATACCTATTTTCAATCTGTATATTTTTCCCTTAAGCATATCTAACATATTTTCAAACCATATAAACTCACACAAAAGAAACTATATACATTTAAAAAATATTAATTGCTTAAAATTATCTTTCCAAATTAAAATCCTCAAAAAATGTTCTGTTAGGTAAAATAATATTGTATGTAGTTAATCATAATGCTATGCAAGAATATTGTGGAACAGGTACATAATTTAAAAATCTTACTCTTTATCAATTAAAAACGGCTCAAGAAATGTCATTGATTGAAACAGTGGCCATTCTCTTTTCCTTTTTGCACCACTGCCACTCGTCTGCTTAAGCAAACGTTTTTCTTTCCTGAAGCGATCTCGGAGCGATTTGTATCGCTCCTGGCATCTGTCAGCTGCAAGAACAAATCATAAATATGAGAAACTTTAATCTGTAGAAAAGTCATAGATCGTAATACTTCGTTATTTAAATTGATTAAAGAATATAAACTAAAAATGAAATAAAACATAGTATTCACTTAAGCAGTAGTATGAGAGGAAATTACGATATTTTTAATTTACAAATTCAGTAAATCATGCTTTATGAGTTTATTTAAAAGTTAATTTTAGTCAAACTGAATTAGTTATATTTCAAGAATTAGCGTAAGTAGTTGAAATAGAAAGAATTTTAATCAGTTTAAAATGCAGAAAAATTGTATGCCACTCACCTGTAGATCCAATGGCTTCAGCTATGCTGATCCACGCATTCCTCCTCATCAGGGAATTTTTGTGGCGTTTATCGTTCAGATTATATAAATACGGGTATTTCTGAATTTCATTTATTAGAAGTTCATCCGTCGCTAGAGAAACACTCTTTTTTTTTTTTTTTGTTTGATTTTTTGTTGGTACAAAGTGCTAAAATGTGTAAAAATGGCTTCCAAAGCTGCAGTAGTAAGCGGGTAAGTAAACAAACATAATCATTGGTTGTTGCAATCACGTGAATCGAGAAACATCGTGGCCTTTCTCGAAGGCCACGGAAACACACGCGTCAAGCGTCAAAAAGTTGAAGTTGAATCAATCCATCCGGCCATCCGTCATCCGGCGAATGCCGCCTCTGAGCTCGCTTCTGATTGGTTAACGCTTTACGCGCGAACGCGTTGCCGCGCCAGTGTGAACGCAGCTTAAAGCTCTCGAGAGCTATCTGCCCACTGGGAAGGAAGCCTTCGTAGAGAACTTTCTAAGGGTAACTGGCTCGTATACACGTTACACATGAGGAAAAACAAGAAAACACCTATGCAGCCAGCCGGCTCACAAAATTAAAAAAAAAAAAAAAAAAAAGTTTTTTTTTTCTTTTACCATGATTAGAATAAAAATCAATTTGTTATTCATTACCATTTACGACCAGTGGTAAAAATATGTAGTGAAATCCATTTAGAGCAAGATCTGCAAAGAAATAAATGCGGTAGAATTTAAATTCTCAGAGAAGAATCATCTGATTATAATCAGCACGATTTGCTCCAAGTTAATCCGTATTATGTAATGTTATCAGGTGGTTAAAAGTATAAAGCAATAATAATTAATTCTCCTTTGATTTTTAGTAGCTGAATGAAATGATCATAAGGTAATTTCACGACAAAGAAGCACTTAAAAGTCTATCATGCCTGAAATCTGCTTGAGTGTTTAGTCATAAGGGTACGAGATCTCAAAGTATATGTTAGAATGTATCCACGGTCAAAAGTGGGTTGGAGTAATTATTTACATACATAAAAGCAAGAACTATGCATACATAAATTCTAATTTTATTGTGTGGAGAAAATCATCAAAAGCATTATCAAAGCAGCCCTATCAACAGTTTCATCACAAAACAACTACATTGCAGAGCATGTTTTCAAAGTATCTGAATTTTTTTTTTAAAGTACATACTGATTCTATGGAAAATGTCTTGTTTACAAGATAAATAGCTCTCGGATGCTTCGCCACTTCATAAAATTTTTAAAGATTTTATTTTTATTTCTGTTATTGGTCTTCATATATCTGCCAGGCTGCATACTTTTGTAGACCAACAATTTATTTAATGTATGAAATTTATTAATCAATTTTTTTAGAATAGTTTAAGTTTTCACTATTCATAAATTGTGATTGTAATCACTAGCAATTCAAAAATGCTCAGTAACAAAATACAGTAGCATTTTCAAAACCACTGAGATTTACACTTATATGAATTTAATAATTTTAAAGCACTTACTATATTTTTGTAGCATTTTTAATCATTTACTTAGAGAAATATCAGCACACTCTGGTTTGATAATGAATTATGATTTTCCTTTGCAATAATCAAGTGCTATTGTTATTCGTATTATGTTACTATGTTCTCTATTTGTCAAATATTTGACTGTATATTTCATGCTGAAACTTTTAGTTCTTTTGCACATATTGCTGTGATACACCCTAATAAACACGTTATATGTTGATATTATGTAAAATGATGTTGCTAATTGTACTATATATGTAACATCAACTGGAGAACTTTATACTAATAAATTTGTAGTGAAATACTGCGATAGAATATGCATATCAAAAACTAATTAATAAATTAATTGTGTAACTAGTAAGAATGAAGTAGTGACAAGATTAAGAACATTTTATTTTATATACTGTTTTTATTCATCTTATCAGGTTCTGTGTTCTTCCTTACTTGCTTTGGGAACATTAAATGACCTGACTCGGAACAGGGAGCTTACTACAGCTATGTTCAATAAATGTGGGAAGTAGACAATACACACAAGAAGTGTATACGAAACCCTTTTATTTTTCTCTCTTTACAATGATTTCCGGACTTCGGAATACAGAGACCAACCACTTGTGGTCTGAACGTAAGAATATAAAAATATTAACTAAACTCTAACTAAACTAACTTTGGATTAATAAAAAAGTGCCTACTTGAAGATTGGCCGTATATTAACTGAAAGCCGTATGTAGTACAGAGAACTGCTAACACTACAATACTTTTAAAATTATCAAGAGGATTAAACCTCTGGCCTTGAAGGCAACAAAACTGCTATGGCAAGCGGCCTGCTCCTGATCACTCCTTCCTCTCTCTTGCTTGGCAAAAAGCCACAACTTAAGTACTTGGCGTTCGCAAGACAAATTTGCATAAACAAGTTAAAGCTTTTAATTCTGGCCGGAAGTAGAAAATAAGAAGTGATAGTAAAGATTTAAAATAAAATAAACGTTAGTAAAACTTAAGATCCTTCTCAGTATATTTTAATTTATAAAAGATTTAGAGATTATTTTATATACAACAACCTTATTTTGACACTGATTTTAAATAGATACTGGTCCCTTTAGCATAATTTTTTCCTCTTGAAGAAGAGGGACCTGTGTCCCATTGCTCTAAAAACTTACAGTTTTATTTAAAATCTACACTGAAATAAAAGTTGCCTAATTTTAAGTTATACATTGGCATATTTTTCCTTCTATTTGACACTTACTACTATATCATCAGACATTTTCCATAACATGAACGTATCTGGCCTATGTCTAAAGTAAAAAAAAAAAAAAAATACATATTTTCTGATAATTAATACAATGTGTACATCTCATTAAAATTTTAAGACATTGATTAAATTTCTTTATTGCATTTAAGTAGTTTTAAAATAACATATAATAAATTTTAAGCCTCATTGACATATAATAAAATATGCGTCTATCATTATGATGCTAAATTTACGATTGAAGGTTGCCAGTTCTTTAATGAAGATTTTAACAATTTTTGATATCTTAGTCATACATAAGAAATCCGTTTGTGTAATATAAGAATAATTTTTTTTTTTTTTTAATGAAACATTGAATTACATGCATAAAATAATTTTAATTGTATAGCAGTACTGTATATGTTTTTATTATTTACAAAATGCTTACTTCATACTTCAAGTAATTGAAAGGAAGAAGAGAAATATTACTTTGAAATATTTTTGCTGAAGAATAATGGTGATTTATTAGGTTAAAATCAAGGCGCTAATGAAATTATTGTGTTATCAGTTATATTTACAAAAACAGATGTATCAGAAAAAAACAAGACGCTAAGGAAATTATTCAGCTATCAATTATATTTACAAAAACAGATGTATTTTATTCTTCAGCTTGATAAATGAATTTGCAAAAATAGTAATTTGTACTCATTTTGGGGGTATTCAAATTAAAAATGTTTATCGCAGAAAATGTAAAGAAAATTTTCTAATATTTTACGTTCAAATGTATTAAATGTCATTTCAACGGAGTTAAGAGTGTATCTATGTCGATCTTTTATGTGATTTCTTAAATCTTCAAAAGTTCTACATGAAAAATTGCAGACATTAATGGGGCATTTCGAATTTCCTTCACCTTCAGCCACAACAGGTACTTTATGTACTTCCCGAATGTGTTCATATAAAATCTTTTTTTCTTTTTACACTTCTTGCAGTAGTACATATAGTAGCTTCCAAAAGTGTTGGTACACTTATAATTTTCATTGAAATAAGGCTCTATCCATTAATTAAAAGTAAACTTTCTGAATGAGATTTTAATAATAAGATCTATAATCTATTCGTAACAAAATTACATGAAATATTTTAAAAATATAGCGAAACTTTATTTTTAAGAAATTAATAATAAAAAAAATGACAAAAATTTTATTTCAGAAAAGTCTTCGTATACTGAAATATTTTTCGGTAAAATCAAAATTAGAATTACCGTTTACCGCATCAGTTTAACCTTCATGAGGGAGAAGATAGAATAACTTTAAAGTCAAGCTACATTTGTGTTGGTTTGCTTTAAGATTTCAGTCATTCTAGTGGTGATAACTCACCCACAAAATATACGTAACACTAGTTTAAGTGGGCCAAATGAACTAAGTCCTGCGACAGGCTGACCACTTGTCCAGGCAATATGCACAAGTGCCTCGGGGCCCACTGTCTAGAAAGCAGATATCAGGGCACTGCCGGCCATGTTTGTCTAGGGCTGTTTTTGGCGCCGAGTTTAGTTTAGCTTAGTTGTTTAATTGAACTAAGCTAATTGAAATCAGTTTAATCCCGGAAAGTTGTTATAATATTGCTTATTATTTCCCAAAATGGAATTGAATGCAGCAGAATACATTGACACGAACACAAAGGAACATACGGACATTTAAGGATACGTTTGACAATATTAAAATCAATATTGTCGCAAGGAATATTTCTGAGAAATTCGTGCATCGAATAAAATGCATAATGACTTTAAAGTTTATGGGAGCAATAAGTCAGCATTTAATACACTCCGCAATGAGGATATGTCCTAATTGACAATAGAAAGTAAATCGTGCTCTTCAAAACTTACAAGCATTACAAAATATTTTCAAGCAATACATATTTACATCATTCAAAGTGTTGTAAAGTCTGTCTTGCGTAATTCAACTTGAATTCTTTAACCCTACTCAGCGAGCTATCGCTCCGTCTGTGAAAGTATAAACAGAATTTAAGAAGGTTTTTAAAAATAACCCATTATTAAAGCTTACAAAACATTATACACTTGTGCGTGCAAACTGAAACTCCACCACTTGCGGGTAGTAGATGAAGAAATCTGAATCGCAATTGAAATGCATTCGTAGACTGTAATAAATGAACGCAACAAATAGAGAAATTAACTCTATACATCTTCTTCAGCATTGTTTTTCTGTATTTACTTCAATAATATATTAACTATATAATTATAACACAGGGAACTGATAATTTAATACTTAGTTACACTGTTATTGTACCGAAAGACATTTCTAATGCCAGTATTATGCAATTGGTTATAGAATAACTTTTAGATCGTCGTTAGCAGCGAATTTTATTATCATAATTGATTTTATGTTAAAAAATACAAAATTCTGCCGAAACGCTTTGAAGTTTGCTTTAAGCAATAAATGAACCATCATCATATTCATATGTATCACGTCTAACTTTTTTTTTTCCAATCATAAGCAATCGTATA